CATTTTTGGGCAAAAAGCATGGACTATAGCCCATGGTTTTGGTCGATTTTGGGCCATTTTCACACCTTTTGAAAAAATATTCATTATTTATGAAGGATGCAAAATAGGTCATTTTTGGGTAAAAAGCATGGACTATAGCCCATGGTTTTGGTCGAGTTTGGGTCATTTTCACACCTTTTGAAAAAATATGCATTATTTATGAAGGATGCAAAATAGGTCATTTTAGCTAAAAAGCATGGACTATAGCCCATGGTTTTGGTCGAGTTTGGGTCATTTTCACACCTTTTGAAAAAATATGCATTATTTATGAAGGATTCAAAATAGGTCATTTTTAGCTAAAAAGCATGGACTATAGCCCATGGTTTTGGTTGATTTTTTCACAATTTCACTCCTTTGTGAAAGATATGCATTATTTATGAAAAAACCAAATTAGATCAATTTTGGTCATTTTTGGGCAAAAAGCATGGATATAGCCCATGGTTTCGGTCGATTTTGGGCCATTTTCACACCTTTTTGAAAGAYATGCATAATTTATGAAGAATGCAAAATAGGTCATTTTTGGCCATTTTTGGGCAAAAAGCATGGACTATAGCCCATGGTTTCGGTCGATTTTGGGCCCATTTTCACACCTTTTTGAAATATATGCATAATTTATAAAGGATGCAAAATAGGTCATTTTTGGCCAAAAAGCAWGGACTATAGCCCATGGTTTTAGTCGATTTTGGGCCATTTTTACTCCTTTATGAAAGATTTGAATTATTTAAGAAGGATGCAAAATAGGTCATTTGTAGCTGTTTTCGAGCAAAAAACATGGACTATACGCATGGTTTTGGTCGATTTTAGGCCATTTACACACTTTTTTAAAAGATATGGATTTTTTTTCAACGATGCAAAACAGATAGTTTTTTTCCATTTTTATGCAATATGCATGGACTRTAGCCCATGGTTTGGGCCTATTTTGTGCCATTTTCAGACTATTTGAAAAGATATGCATTATTTATAAAGGATGTTAAATAGGTCGTTTTTTGTGATTTTCAGGGGAAAAGCATGGAATATAGCTCACTGTTTTGATCGATTTTCTCCTGTTTTCACACTTTTTGAAAAGATATGCAATGCATACTTACCAAAATGTAAAGTTCCATCACGTTCTGCTACGTAGAATTTATAATTTCGTTGCACCAAGTAATGCCCAGGTATACAAGATGATTCAAGAGATATATCATCTGTACCCGTTTTCGGTAGCAGACCCTCACGTACTACAAAATACTGACATTGTCCTTTGAGTATAATTTTGCCACTAAACGAATTAATGCAAAGGTTCTTCGTGATGTTAATCTGGATGGCGGGAATGTCCAGAGAATGGATGCTGTACTGAGCGTTAAAAACAACTAAAAATATAAAATTGCAAGGAAATGAAAGTGAAGTCAAGTGAAAAACGAATTAAGGTCAAATAGTTAGATAACTGCTCAATATCTCACCCCATTGGGTAATTCATTACATTATCCTTACATCCGTTTCAATGGTGTATGAGACATGTCGCACGGTGTACGTGCTGTATGTCTACCCAAGATTTCACCCCTAGTGGATAACTCCTTACATCCCTTCACCCGTTTCAATGCTGCACAAGGCATGCCGTACGGTATACGTGGCGTAAGTCAGCTATGTAAGTTCTCTTCTCCTTACTTTTGCTAGCTGGTCCTCCTTCGTAGACCAACCTTCTCGCCATGTCATCCGGATCTTCATCAGGCTTTGGGTAATATACAAATATCTCATTCTCCCTAGTGGATTGTGTTCCTATATCAGTAGTACCGCTAGCTGGGTTCTGGATACTGTTATTTTTAGTGCCCTCGGAAACTATAGTCGTGAAGACAGGCGTTGTTCTAGTTCCATCGTCATCGTTTTGTAAGATTTTATACAACGATTTCGGAGAAGATTTAAGGTCATTTTGTTCGATGGTTTCGAAGTGTGGAGAAGAGAAATCGCTAGTTTCCGAGGGAGTGCTACTTCGAGAATCTGGTGTAAGAGAAGCGATACTGGAAGAATCTGATGAAATAGCTGTAAACTGTAAAGGATTTTTGGCTTCATCGTTCTGGGGATATGCTAGAGGATCATCAGAATTTTTCTGCCCCTTTGCGCTCTGATGAGGATGACTCCCCGTGTCGATTGGTACGTATTTCTGATTATGCATCAGTTTCCCTGAACTTCCAAAAACACCTTCAGTAGGAAGTTCTACATACGGATTTTGTCTTTGTATTTGTTTACTTGGACCATTCGTATTTCCATAGACGCCATTACCATTGATGCCGGCATTAGAATTAGGCAAGTAACTGTTTTCCAAGGATGAAGACGATCCTTGAGGGGAGTTGTTTTGTAAAACATTCCGTCCATTGTTTCCATAAAGATGAATGTTGATTACGTGGTTCGAGGCACTCCTTTCCTGGTCAGTAGTATTATTATCTGCGCTGCTGATATTCCAGTACTTTCTTATTATTTTCTCTCCACGAGGTCCAAATAAACGAACCATGAAATTAAGGTTACCTTGTTTATAGGCGCTAAAAATGGTTTTGAAAGTTTTGGCAAAAACAACCTGAGCCGCAGCAGCAGCGGCAGCTTCTCCTGCCTTAGCACCTGCTTCCTCTCCAGCCATCTTGCCTGCTTCTGCTCCTGCTCTTGCTGCTGACTTTGCGGCAGCCATTAGGCCAGAAGATGCTCCAGCTTTAGCTCCTGCTTTAGCTGCTATCTTGATGATGTCCAAGTTGGGTGGTCCTTTGGTCGTCGCCGCTTCGAGGAGAAAAGTAGAATGTTGGAAAAAATAGACAAGTAAACATGACAAACAACCTACGAACAACCCAACCACTCACCAAAATATCAACCTGACTCATTCACCAATCAATCAATTAACCATGCCCCCACTCACCAAAAACAATTCTACTATATATACCAACAAAGCAAACAACCAATCAACTTACCTTGATCGACCGACCGACCGACCGACCGACCGACCGACCAAACAATTAATACACTCATTCACCATCCAACCAAGTAACCCATCCACCAACAAACCTATCTACCAATCAAGCCTCCCACCCATACTCTAATAAATCCATATACCATTCAACCAGCCCACCCACTGATCGACCCATCTACCAATCCCTTTACTTCGAATCAATCAATCAACCAGCTAACTTACTAATCCAACTAGAAGCAGTCCAACCGAACATCCAATCCAACAGCCATAGCATGAACTAGCCATTCAACAAATCCACATACTGATAGATGTGTTGATCATCACAGTGAATCAACGGGAAGCCTGATATCATTTTTTCAGGTCTTTCTTTACAGCGTTCGCTTAGATCGCTCATTCATTGTGATGATCAACACATCTATCATTATTTCACCACAGTTCTATCCATTCCATATTCAAATCCACATATCTTCCGACCCAACTAACCAAAGTGAGATAACCCGCGCCAACCTGCGACCTAATTAGACTAGCTACCAAGCAACCGACAGCTGACAACCAATTAGTTATTTCCCCTACCATTAACTCCCGAAATCGGCTAATACACCCACCACCTAACAACTCATTCACCAACCCACCAGTGTCCAATACTTGGTTCCATGTAAAAACAAAACGGCAACATTTCAAAACTCACATTTGTTGTTTTTGGTATAGCCTTCAGGCAAAGCTGTCCAAAGATAATCTGCTGTGATTGGTGCGACGAATTTCTTTGGTGTTTGCACCGCTACAGAAAGATGGTCCTTGTCGTAAAACTCTTTCATCAGTGTTTCGATATAGTAGTAATGACCTTTATGTAACTGAACTGGCCATGACCGCTGTTCAATATATCTATGGACGCATAATCATATTAGTGTTAATGTCCAATTGCTCCAGTTAAAGCACTAAAGCCGAACCATAATATTCAGTGTGTCCCTGATCTAAGACGCGTTGATTCTAATGAAGGAGGAAAGCGGAGAACTCCGAGGAAACGTACCTAATTTGTAGTGGTACAATGTTTTTATTCCCATACAGAACACTTAATTCCTTAGAGTATAATTTCTTTGTTTAACGGTTTCGCGCGAAAAGACACACGAATATGGATACAACCAAACGAAGAATCTTATTCTCAGTCAAGTGATTGACACGTGATCTGAAATCGGAAGGCATCTTACCACGACGAATTAGGTCTATTAAGGGAAACACCCCATAAACTCTACTCAAATACGATGCCAAGACAAGAATTCGAACCGGACACCCATCCCAGAGTCGATAGGCAAGTGCAAAAGATATATGGCTATGTATCTAAGATCTTGATATGATTTGTCAGAAATATTTGTCAGAAGAACCAAAGTTTGTCTAATATAAGATTCGCTTACTTGTCGTATTGTCTTGGTTTGGTGAATCGTTCCTCACGAACAGTTGCTATCAGACTTTTATGGCTTGGGAATTCATCATTACTTAGGAAGAGTTGACCGCTGTTATCACTTGCTGAGGGTAAAGGAAAAATATTACCAGGAAAACTTGAACAAACGCAGAAACGATTGAACCACTAAATAGACTGTTGTTCAGACAATGAAAGGAAAGGAGGAAGTGAAAAATAAGAGAAAGGAATGAATAGCAATGAAGAGGATGATATATGTTGGAAGGAACGAAGAGATGGAAGGATAGAGGTCGTAGGGATAAGGAGAGAAGGAAAATAATAAAAAGCAGAGGAAAAGCAAGAGAAGGGGAGGAAAGCAAGGAGTTAATAAGCCAATACTCACAAATAAAAAACACATGAGCCCCCGATTCTTTTGGTACAAAATAAGCTCGTATTCTCGTGCCAAAGTTCTCGCCCCAGTTATTTGGCTGAGTGAACTGCGTCCCATAGCCGCGCCATGTTGGAAGGTTGGGATAGCGTGCGTTGTTTTTGAGATTCTCGATAGAATACGAGTCGATCCCTTCCCATTTCTCGATGTAGACGCCTTGTTTTCTTAACACATCTAAACAAGTAATAGGATTATGCTAGGAAAATTTCCCAGGAAGCCTCCCTTTATTGTAGTCGTGGGAGGGGGGTTTCCGTCTTAAAGCAGCGACAATGTAGGTCGTACAAGGTGTAGAGCTACAGAGGAATGTTTTGGGAAACAAATAGAAATGTTCTACAACGGAAAATGAATTGCCCTACAAGGCTCCTCCAGCATAAGGCTTCCATGAAGCCACTCTAGAGGGATATCCTTTGCTCCCACCTCGAATCCCTCTCGTTTTCTTAGCTTCTCCTCTCTTCTCTCTCCCGCTCCCTTTTCCTCTTCCACATTTAAAACACCGCGCATTGAGAAGTCCAAGACTCCCAAAGCCCTTTTAGATCTTCACTTGATTACCTGCCTTTTTTAAATAGTTATTTATATAAACAACGTTAACACGAGGCGGTCGAAAGATTTTTCAATGTGGTACATCAAAAGGGACTATTTTAAGAATTTACAACAGGGTGAAAAGCTTTGTGTAAGGACATTTCGTCGTCGTACAGGTGAACTGACAAATGTAAATGGTTAATTATTGCTTTGATAATAATTATGACTGCTGTTTTTTATATATACCTATCGCTCAATGTTTGTTTTAAAAACACACATTTTTTYCCTAGGAAAGCTGCTTACCTGGGGCAAAAGGTTTTGGTCGTAAAGGAGTCACCATAATAAACACAGATAAAACGACAGCAAAGACCCCAAAAGCATTCCACCAGCGAAACACCATTTTATCAACTTTCCATCACTTGCAGTTCAAGTTACCCTTTTCAAGCTTAGAAAAAACACAAGTTCTTCATTCTTAATTGAGGTACATTGGCTTCCCTAAAAAGGTTTTCAAATACAGCATTTTGGTAACAAATCACCAAAAACAGGTATGGTCTGTGTTGTGTGTTTAAGTCTTGAAAAGAGAATTTGACACAATAAATTATAGATTAATTCTACGTTGTTAAATACTCTGGAAATATTTTTCTGCTCTTGAAAAATCTTAAAATAGAATATATAAGTCTTAGAAACACTTAATTGTCAAGATTCTTTATTCAAAGTCTTTTTAACAACTCTTGAATTAAAAACGTTTTAAAGGTTTGTACAATATACATTTTCCTGAGCTAAGTTAGCAGTCCATTCATGCGCGCCGGTTTAGTAGACTAATGTCACAAGCTTTGAACTGAAGACCTGTGAATATTCACAGGGGGGGGGGGATTTTTGGATTTGGGATTTTTTAAAAATCTTTTCTTATCCGGCACAGAATTTTTATAATTTTATTTTTATCAACTTCTCGGTTTCAATGGCTTCGCGATTTTTTCTGCTTTTCGAAACCTTTTTGTTAAAACGCCGTTTGTTTTTAAGTTCATGTTTCATCGCAGAAAATGCCAAGATACTTTCCTTAGGTCCACAAACTCTTTCACATCGTACCAGACATTTCCGTTCATTTTTGTGGGATTCCTTGCAATTTTTATGACATTTGCATTTTTTTGCACGAGCAACCGCTGACCTGCCAGATTGCAAGGACTGTTGCTGACAACAAGGTCTTGGACAGGGAGGCTGGCAGGCATGATTTGATTGGCACATTGGAGGGCATGCTGTGAAAATAAGAAGGGTTTATGATCACGCTAAACACACACAAAAGAAAATAAACGAAATGTTTATTAACATGAAACGAAAAGTTTCCGAAAATTTACCAAGATATTGTCTTGGAATTTCCGGTACTCGACTATTGGCCGATAAATGGCCGACTATTTCCCTTCGAGAAAATTAAATACTGGTATGTATTTGGCCATAAGAAAAGGCCGAGTTAAGGCCGAGTAAATTCCAGTGAAATATATTCTAGTACAGTGATACTTCATGTTAACTAACATTTGTGATGTTAATGCTTTTAACCATTTTGTCAAAAGTTTGTCACAAGTTGCTTTGTGTCACCAGCCACTCGATTTCTGGTTGGCTCATGAAAAAAAATTCTTATGTCACATGAAGTGTCGATATTGCCTGATTATTCAGTACTACATTACCTGGCTGTGGTTGTTACGCCGAGGGAGACAGTATAGTAACAGATCCTTGCAGCACAACGGGTGGAGGTGAGCCCGCAGTAGGTGCTGGTGTTGTTTGTAAACTTTGATTCAAAGGGATTGAAGAATTGCCTTAAAAATATGCAAAAGAAGTGAACAAAACAAGTGAGAGACGAATGATTTTTTTTTTTGAAATCGAGGTTAAATGAGAATTCAAAACTGGAGCCATGGTTTCTGGTACATGATCTTATCTAAGATTTGATTTCTTGGGGTTCGAGTTTGGGGTTGTGTTTGAGGAACGAGGTGGAACTTCCAAAGAATGACTGAGTGATTTTAACTGGATCAATCTTTCGCCATATTTATGGAGGCAATACTTGATGAAATTCTATTGGTTAAAAAATATTTTAAAAAGGTAATACATTTTGATTGTTTAGTAGCATCGCTTACCATCAACGACTCCTTCAGGTGTAGTAGCATTGATAGCTGGTAACGAAACAAATTGATGTTAAACCGGCATCTTTTAAGAATCATCCAAAAATCCTTAATAGGACGACTGCATGATGGCGTCATTTGTCTCCCAATACCAAGATGCTTCGCGAATTTTCTTTCTTATTCAAATTTGTATTCCCTCACGAGAATAATGAGACAATTGGTGCTAATTTACTGAATAAAAGAAGCGTGCAAGGGACAAGTTGCGGCAGTGAAATGACGCCATCATGAAAACGCCCTAATTTCCCTAAATTTCACAGTAAAATCGCGTGTATTTAATAGATTATTTATCTCCTTTCTTGCTAAAGGTGGTTGTTCCTTATTAACATTATAAAAGCTTGTTGATCACCATAGTAACGAACTCGCCGCGGATATAAAATATGAGGATGATAAACTTACGAGATGATTACAGGATAAGGCACAGGATGGCTGGAGTTCGTGGCATTTTTGTCATCATATCACAATACTCCAGTTTCGAATTTTCTGTCATACAAGGTTAGCCTCAATGTCGTATAAAATTATTTTGAATATTCATGTGTTACAGTCAAGGTGCGTGGAGTTCAGTTCAAAGTGTTTGTATTGTTGAAGTCGTACAAGTCTTTACTTTACCGTTGGTATTTGTGAATATTTAGACACTGACATAAGGCTAACCCTGAGTAAATGATTCTGTTATCAACGAGCACAGCGGTTTTTGGCTAATTCGAAAACGGTCTATTGTAATTCCATACTACGCTTTACTCAAATTTCAAGACTCTAGCTAAAATTGCCAAAGTTTTCTTGTGAGTAAATAAAAATCATATGTAAGTGTGCATGACCTACCTCCTAGGGCTTCAGGTTCAGTGGTGTTGGCTCCTGTTTGTAAAACAATTCAACTGCATTTTATTCATTCACGTGGTATATAAACTACAGTACAGCCTGATTAACACGAAAAATACAAACCCTAACCAATGCAATTGTAACCGCAAGCTAAGTAGTCCAGTTTAAACTTATCTGATGTTAAGGGTTAGCCTCGATTTTTTGTAGGATATTCACGGGTTCCACTGAAGGCCCGTGGGATTTCAAAGTATCGTTGAAGTTGTGCGTTCTTTACTTTACCACTATTGGTATTGGCATATTTTATATTTTCATAGAGGAGATTTTTAAATATGATATTTATGAATATTTTGACAATGAAATGAGGCCAACCCTGAGTAAATAATGAGTCTGTAATCAAGGAACGCGTGGACTACAATAATGTTTAAATTAGTTAAAGGGCAGACGTTTCTTTCATGTTAAAGCATTGACACCTTAAGACAGGTATATGGTACCCCTAACAAAACTGGGTTGAAATCGAAGATCTCGATTATTTTGGCCGAAAGGGGTCTGGATAGTAAACTAATTGAGTGGCATACCTGCTACGATTCCAGGTGAAGTACTGTTTGAACCTAACAATGAAAAAATATGATAGATCAGAGTTGAATGGATCAATTTTAACTGTCCTACTGCGCTAGCAAAAAAAAAAAAAACCTTAAAAATTAAAAATTGAATTTTATCGAACCCTGAAACAACCTCAAGGCTGATCTAAGTCAGGGCATGGCTAACTCACAGATCTAACCCTGAAACAACCTCAAGGCTGATCTAAGTCAGGGCATGGCTAACTCACAAATTGAACCCTGAAACATCCTCTGGGCTGATCTAAGTCAGGGCATGGCTGACTCACAGATGGATTTAGAATTTAGCTTGTTGGGTTTTGCAAAGAGCAGAACACCGCAAAAACAATAATAATAATTTTAAAAAGTTAAAAACGTTTTTCTAAAGTGAGTTGTCAATGAACCACTGAATATTGACATCCACTGACATCCAGTCATGAATGGCTTGACAGCTCTATACTAGACCAGTCTTACGACCTATTTAGATGTAGATCCCAGTGCACAGTGCACACCAAAAATCGAGAAGAGTTAGCCCTGGCAGGAGTTTATATATTTTTTTCTTCATACAAGCGCATGACATGTAAGTGGTGTGGTATGTGAGTTGAGTTGTTAGTTAGTTCTCTCCTTTGCTTTGAGGGTTTTTCTCCGGGTTTCCCGGTTTCTTTTCCTCCACAGTTGGGATCCGGTGAATGAAGGACCACTGTATGGAAACGCGGCGCCACTGTTAAATCCTTTTTTTTTTAACCTAAACTATTGACGGGAATACCTACCAGCCGGAAATGCAAACACCGCTGAACAGTACACGACGACGACAATGGAAAACATAAATGGAAGAAACGCCGACATCTTTTACAGATTCTCGCCCGCTAAATCTGGATCTTAAGCTCGATCTTACTTCTTACGGAATTCGAGGATTTTCTTGTGCAGTGATTTTGTTAATTGTTTCAATGAAATATTTCCAATGATAAAATTAGACTGGTGTCAATACCATATATGGGCAAAAAGGGTGCTATAGGGGTGTGGCTCTCACAAGAGTACACCAGTGAATTTTGCTGTCGCATGTATAATTTATATTAGTCGTTAAAGTGCTTAAAAGCCTTTACACAATATTTTCAGAATTGATTCTTTAAATAGTGAATAGTTGATTGTGAAAATAATTCGTTATTTGAATTTCGGGTCTTTGAGATATGAAGGCTTATATTCCCAATATGTTAATGACTATGATATAACATAAGGGAATTTTGTGGCAACTTTTAATATTGAACGCTGGGCATTTTTTGGAAACAAATTTGTAAAAACCTTTACGTGAGTCACGATTAAAAGGGTGATGCTTTTAAAATACTGTATTCCAGAACGAGTGCAGTGTTGTATGTTAAATGATCCCTCATGTTACGTCATAGTCATTAACATATTGGGAATATAAACCTTCGTATCTTAAAGAACCGAAATTCAAATGGCGAAATATTTTCACGATCAACTATCCACTATCTAAAGAATCTATTCTGAAAATATTGTGCAAAGGCTTATAAGCACTTTAAAATGTTCTAAGGTGTACGATCATGTGACGAGGTGTTACATTAAGTTTTGTAAGAGGCTTTGTATCATCACGTAATGGCAACTATGACAGGAGGCAGGAACAATTGAATCTGATGAATCCGATTTACGTGAAAAAGAATTCAATTTCTCGGGGGGGGGGGGGGAGACTCTATTGATGATGACGATGATCAAGATGATCAAGATGATAATGATGGTGAAGAAGAAGAATACGAAGATGATATTGTTGATATTTATCTAAATAATTATGCATTTAAACACACACAACAAATTAAAAAACAAAATAAACAACATTGGTAAAATATCAAAAAAAAAACGGAGCTCGAGAAAAAACGTTCAAAATCT